GCAGAGTTAAAGCTTTCAAAGCACACAGAAATTCAGTAAGGTAAACTAGGTAAACTCTCCAGGACCGGATGAACCCTGGCCCCTAGCTACCAGGAAACTTCTTGCTGTCTCTTGCCAGGGATAGGTGTCCTCCTCCTTGGCCAGTCCCTGACTGGGAACTATAGGACTCAATGAACCAGAATCTTCATCCTTGCCTTCCTTCAACCCTGCCAACAGGCCCTCCTCCCAATCTGCTAGCTATTCTTCACCTCCTGGCTCCCCAGAGACAACTGAGCTTCTCTCCTCCCAGCCTTCCTGAGAGCCCAAAGAAGATGTTCCACCCAGGCTCTCCAGGGCAGAAAGCCCACTGGGGGTGCCAGCAGTGACTCCTTCACAATATTGTACAGTGGTGCCCCGCATTACAACAACCCCACAGAAATCACATGATGATGACTTTTTTGCAATTGCTATAGCGATTGCAAAACTATGTTTCCTATGGTGTTTTTTTTTTACTGGACGACGATTAGGTGCTTGCTTCGCGAACCGTTTGTTCGCAAAATGATGATTTTTCCGGCTCCACAGAATGGCTACCCAATGTTTTCCGGACCCAGGGCAGCCATTTTAACAGCTGGTCGGCGCTCAGAAAATGGCTTCCCCTATGGGCGATCTTCGCTGGATAACGAGGTAATTTCCCCATTGGAACGCATTAAACGAGTTTCAATGCATTCCAATAGGGAATTTTTTTTTCAAATGACGACGATTTCGCTTAACACCGATTTTCCTGGAACGGATTATCGTCGTCATGCGGGGCACCACTGTACTTTAGAAAATGAAGTTTGAGCAGCAGTATACTACTTGTAAAGGATATCTTTCCTAGGAAGCTAACATTTGAACATGGGCATGTAAACACTGATAAAGCAAAACATTGAGAAAAGTCTAAACTATTAGATTCCTTCACAAGCACTTTGCTTACATAGCACAGTTGTACCCAAGGAGTTTACTACAAAACCAGACTGCTACATTGTTATCATTGTTCAAGTATCATACATTTGACTGTGACACAAGAACAAAGAAGGGCAGGGCCCACAAGCATGGTTCTACTATCTCTCTCAAGCATCAACTGGATAATATAACAATTACATGCTATCTAGCCTGAAAAGGGGTACAATTGAAATCAAGGAAATTGCAAATTGAACTGTATATGTTTTTCTGGATATTAACCTATGTTGGCTATGCAGTTTCTCTTTGGATTTTTTTCTTTTGTGTTAAACCTCTGACTGATGACTGCATACCTGTCATGCCTACATCACTGAAGAAAGCAAGTGCTTATTTCACCAGCTCTAACCACTTCTTGAGAACCTAAGGAGGGCTGCCTTGAGTAACCAGTTGACCTTCCAAGTCACCAAACCACAGAGTAGATTGCCAACAAATCTAAATTTAATGGTCAGAAGATCTCACTACTTTAGCTACACATGAACATTTGTTCCATTGACACCAATTTCGAGCAAAATCCTTTTTGAATGCGTGGACAGCTTACACTAATGCATATGCCTAATCCGTTACTATACAGTATTTTGTAATTTTTTCCTCTCTCTTCTTTTCTCACCCTTTCTTTCTCCCCTCCCTTTTTCTCTTTTGGTTTGATTTTTTAAAAAAATAAAAAAACATACATATTTATTCTAAATCCAAGTCCTAGACCTGGATTAAAATTATTCTTTGCTTATTAAAAACAAAACAAAAAAAGTAATTGTGGAGGTCCTATGTAACCTCAGGCCCTCCCACAGTGCAAATCTAGCTAGGAGTATTCAAAAAGTTTCTTGAATGCTAGACAGGTTATTAAATGAATTTAGAGTTGTATAGGATGTTAAATGTTACCATTTTAATTGGGGAGAGTTTCAGGAATAAAAACGTTTAATGTATCTGCTGGATATTGTGGGAAATAATTCAACTCCTGTACCAAATACAAATAAACATTAATTACTTTAACCAAAATAGAAATAAATACTAAAAAACTAACACATATTACTGTATTAGTTATTTATCACAATACCATTAATATTGAGTCCACTGACAAAGGTTCTCCATTTTGTAAGATGAGCATATAACATTCTTTATTATTTTGCCTTTGCCAGAGAAACAATCAAAATATATACTCCGTATATAAACATATATAAATCAGTATAATTCATATAAATAATTTAGATACTCCTTTCACAAAGCCTTGTTCTACAGAGAGTAGTTTTTAAAAAACTGATAAAACACAAGACATTCTAAAAACTCTTAGAAAAGTAATTGGCATACAAAAAGGAATGAAAAGGAATGTGTAAATGCTCAGAGAGTCTCGGATCTCCACTGCCATATGGCATCACAGTATAAGATGAATGTAAAATACAATTAAACTGCCGTTTACCTAATAGGGTAATTTATTTCATAAAATGAATCTTACATTCTCACAAGTGAAATCATGCAAATGTTTTCAGTAGATAAACACTTCAGTCAACGGGACCTACCAAGTCCTTCTGCTCCTTCACATCTCTTTCATATTCACTAAACCTTTTCTGTATAGAAAAGCCAATATTACAAAGGCAATGGGATTTCATTGGTTCCTAAACCAAATTCTAGGGCTCTAATGATCTAGTGAAAGTTATAATGCAATTACTTTTTTTGACATGCAAAGGATAATTTCCATTCAAGGCAGCAGGTGCAAGAGGGTTTATGAGGTAAAAAGTTTCAAGTTCTGACAGCATCAGGTATAGATGAGGAGACATGGCACAGTAGGGTCTGGTAGGATGCTTTCAAAGTCAAATCTGATAAAACAGCATGAGTAAAACAGAATTTCTGAAACGTGAAAAATAATTGAATAGATTTATTATAAGGTTTACTTTTAATGTGATACAAAAAGTGAGGGTGCACCAAACAGGAATATATCAAGGACTGTTTTATTTTAGAAAAAAAAAATTGTTACAGCTAAACGTTTCTCAAACCATGAGCAAATAGGCTATAATGCTAATAATGGGTTAACATTTAAATATTTTTTTTCATAAGCTACCTATGGAAACAACTGAGAAAGGGCATGCCATAACTTTCTCAGCTGGCAAAAATATGCACTGATTACAAAAGCATCCCACATTTAGCCTGTTCTGTATCCATACAGAACCAGAGATGTATTTGCGAAGGCTTTCATGGCCAGGATCTAATGGTTGTTGTGGGTTTTTCAGGCTCTTTGGCCATGTTCTGAAGGTTGTTCTTCCTAACGTTTTGCCAGTCTCTGTGGCCAGCATCTTCAGAGGATACCACTCTGTGCTCTGGTGTAGTTGGCTTGGAAGTGGAGTATTTATGGCTGTGAGATGGGCTTTTGTCTTTTTCTGTAGATGGGTGATTATTGTGTCTCGTTGTGGGTGTATTGTTGTGATAAGAAGGAGAGATTATCTGTCACTGTGGTTAATGGGTGTCATTAGCTGGTCTTTTGTGTGTAGTGATACCCGGTCCTTGTGACTGGGTAGAGTTCATTGACCTTTTGCACGCTGTATTTTTGAGAGCTGGGAGCCAAGTTTTGTTGAGTTTCAAACTTTCCTCTTTTTTGTTGAAGTTCTGCTGGTGCTTGCGGATTTCAATGGCTTCCCTGTGCAGTCTGACGTAATGACTGCTGGTGTTGTCCAGTATTTCGGTATTCTGAAATAGAATTTCATGTCCAGTTTGTTTTAGGGCATGTTCAGCTATTGCAGATTTTTCCGGTTGTTTTAGTCTGCAGTGTCTCTCATGTTCTTTGATTCTGGTGTGGATGCTTCTTTTTGTGGTTCCAATATATATATATATATACCTGGCCACAACTGCAAGGTATCCGGGATACTCCTGCAGAGGTGAGGGGGTCCCTTCTGTCCTTTTCTGACCGTAACATTTGTTGTATTTTTGTGGTGGGCTTGAATACTGTTTGTAGGTTGTGTTTTTTCAAAAGTTTCCCCATGCGGTCCGTGACCCCATACATCAAAGGGCTCACATGAGAGGAGACAATATTTTTACACAGTAAAAAGTACACATCATGCATATGATATTATTTTCTAAAAGCTTGCAGCTCATCGGCAAGACTAGCTTATCAAAAGCACAACTATTTTTCCTGGGTTGATTATGTTTAGCTTGTATGAAAACATGTGGATAATTCAATTTACGGTACTTTCATGTTTGTGTCTTGAAAACTAGCAAGCATCAGCCAGCGCTATCAAAGTGAAAGCCAGCCATTTTGGAGACTGAAATTTACTATGGATCTGTTGAAGCTGAACTTCTCATGCACTAGACATTTCCTTCATTTCACAAGGAATTTGACAAACTATGAAAATGTCTACATTTTCAACTGCTTGTTTGTTTAATAAATAATCCAGCATTTCTAGTCTCCACAGGTCCAGCATGGTCACCAATGTTTTGAACAATGTTTCGGCCAAGTGAAAGTGTCTTTTGGTCTTAAATGATTTCACATTTGCTCCCACAGATTCCATCCAGTATAACAGCTTATTATTCCAAATTTGATTGCTTACACAAGAGAGAAATTATTGCCTTTCAATCCAAGTTTGCATGAGGACTAAGATGCAAAGTGTAATTAACGCCTGTCTTAAATAGCCTCAATTAAACACCTGTCTCTCCATTACATACCATAGGGAAGGCAGATGCTTATCTAATTAACACCATAGTTCTTAGCTGAAGAAATATGGTATATGTGTGTATCATGATAATTTGATTACTCATATGTTTCTTAAGTTCACAGTACTGCATTGATTTACCCTCTGTTGATATATTTTTAAAGTATTCAAATTTCAGTTACACAGAATCAATTCCTACATTTGTTTTCTAAAAACTCAAGTCAATTGGAAACGCATACAGAAATCTTTCAACACAACTTTTGTTTTCAACACTTACTGAGAATATGGATATGTGGCTTTCACTGGCACTTCATATTGTTGGAGTGGCACAGTGAATTCCAAGCACTATAAAGGCAGAGAAATAAATAAAGCAATCTGGGGACAGCGTACCGAATTAATTACTGGAATTCTTTCCGTCGCTGACACAAACACAGACAACTGCTTCTTCTTTTTATGTACTTCTTCGGTGGTCTCTTTGACCTGAAATATGAATACAGAGAGTTGCTGGGGGTTTTATTTTTTTACAACCAAACTTGCTTTGATGATGCTTATCAGTTTGAGTAAGTATCAATGCTACTTGCCAAAGATTCACTAGAATTTATTACAAACCCATAGAGTCCTATTCTCTAAAATTTGCCAGGTTAAGTCACAGTATATAGACAACTGGCCTGACCTTTATCATAAACAGCTTGTGTATGTGTGGTTCTCCAGAATTACCACGTTGATACTATTTATTTAATTGGAAAAAATATAAGGAAGTCTTATAAGGATATAGGGAGTGGAACCTCTCTTGCTTCCCCAGTCTATGCAGTTAAGTATTTTTTTGCCTTATACACCAGTGTGGCCTGTGTTCTACATGAGTGAAAGAGAATTTTTAAAGTAAAAAATTGCTACTAATATTTAAGCTCTACTCAATCAAACTAACACCATATGGTAAAAAAATGGCAAGTATAATTAATTTTAAGCAAAGCAAAGTTTGCTGCTTCTATACTGCTCCACAGCACTTAAAGCACTCTCTGGACAGTATACAATTTAATTATGCTGGGTACACTCCCCCCCCCGGTAAATTGGGTACTCAATTTACCAACCTTGAAAGGATGGAAGGCTAAGTGAACCTCAAACCATCTACCTTGAATTGAACCTATGTCATGGGTTGTGGGAGCCGTGCTGCAGCTTAACCACTGCATCATGAAGCTCCTAATAAATAAATATTTATCAATGTATGAGAAAATGTATTTTTTTAATTATATGAAATTTGTCTATTTTACTTAAATTGTTCTATGGGCCCACAGAAACAGTGTATTTTTAAAAGCATTTTTGCTGATTATTTATATGTAGGAAATTCAATATACTTTTAGTCAACTATTTTGCCATAAATGATATACTTTTAATTTTGTTATGATTATTTCTGAAGGCTGGCTAATAACATTTGATGACTTTGCCCGTGTTAACAAGCACAATCTAACTCCTTCTCCCTCCTACTATCACGAGACCCGTCTCTAAATTTATCTATGATAACTTCTAATGATAATATATGTTAGCTATTCAGCTTGATTAAGACCTAAGGGGAAAAATTATTTGCATTTGAGAAATGCTGAAGAAAATTGTCCCTACAACTAACATATTTGGTAATATGTATTCAGTTCCTCCCTGTATGATTATAATTCTGTTAAATTAAGCTGTCAGGGAATGTTAATGGGGCTCTTAGGTAGTCATGCTTAATATGTTTGATAATATGGAACTTGAGAAAAAGAGAGGAAGAAATCCTATGCTAATTAATTGATGGCACTTGAGAAAGAATGTTTTCCTATTTTTTTTAAGCTTGACGGTAGAGTTAGAAGTGCTCAAATGTTAGTTAATTTCCAATAACTAGAAATTCATTCCTCTGTTTTCAAAAATCAATTAACCCATCTAATTAAAAATGCATCTCTTTGTTGTTTAGAGAGAATTTTCTGACTCAGAAACAATTGTTCAAATGTACTTTCCAGAGAAGTTGCCCTCTGAATCTCGGGGCAGCTTGTAGTTGAAGCAGTGGGAAGGTTCCTCACTCCAAATTTCAGGGTGTGCAGACCACAGCCTGTGTGTGCTTGATCTGTTTCAGCAAAAAAAGAAAAGCTGTAGAATTCTGAAGACCAACACAAGTACTGTGGCATGCGGTGTTGTAGGCAGTAACCACAAAAATAATGAAAACATAGGCAGCAATAAAACTGTCAGTCTTTGAAGTTCCATAGGAGACTCTTACATTTGCACATATATCTAAAAGGAAGTTCCCTAGTTTTCATTCTTTGGGAAACTTCAACCAACGTGTACATTCCAGTCAACCAGGAAATGATTAAGGAATGTGAAAACTGGCAATTCCATGTGCATTGTAAAATTCCATTTAATTCAGCAGGATTAGCTCACAAGTAAATATACACAGAAGTATATATATTGAGAAAATTATGGAGGGGGGAAAAGTGGGGATGTGCATGAGTACCACATTTGGGTTTGGCATTTGGATTCAGAATAACAGCACTTCAGATTTGGAATTCAGAATTTTAAAAAATTCAGAACTTCTGGATAACAATAACTCTGTTATAGTCAATATGAATAATATATACATAGTCATTATCTTCTGCTTTGAAAATAAAAGAACACAGGCAAAACATTTTAAAGGATTTCCAAAAAAAGAACACAGGCAAAACATCCTAAAGGACTTCCCTGTTTTCTCTGACACCTTCCCAGGGATGGTGCCAAACAAAATGAATGCACACCAACAGCCAGCAGTGCCTAGGTATTAGGACATGACTGTAATGGCATGTCCTAATACAGATTGAACATGACAGACTGAACTCTGAACAATTGGAATGCCAGTAGGAAATGTCCTCAGCAGTGGGAAAGTGGCACTGGTTGCACTGGGGAGTAGGCAAATACCCTGGGATGTACTGGTTTGCAGACTGGAGCACTAGATAGCCTGTGATGGGTGGGAACTGTGCCAACAGCACGGGGCACAGTACAGTTAGGTAAGTGAGCATGATCTTGGAGTAGTTGTTGGAAGATACCTGTATGTGCCTTACTGTTAGGTAAGTGAGCATGATCTTGGTGTAGTTGTTGGAAGATACCTGTATGTGCCTGCTTGTTTGTAAAGGAACACAGAGTGCCTGCTGGATCAAATCAAAAGTCTATCAAGTCCAGTATCTTACTTCTGATAGTGGCCACTGTAATATCTTTCAGAGGTCCATCAACAGATTATGAAGGCAATGGCCTTCCTCTGTTTGTCTCAGGAAACTGGTGTTCAGAGGTATACAACCAGTGTACTCAGTAGTTCCATTAGGTTATCCTAATTAATAACGGTGGAATCCTGCCCACTATTCATTGAAGTGATAATTTCTTGCTACATTCTTGTGCTTCAGACATTCTTGTGCTTCAGAGCCAAATAGCCTTTCCACCTAGTTGAGCTTGGCACGGTTGCTTTACTAGATTACAATCCTAAACTAACCTAACAAGTGACTAATCCCAGTAAACATAGTAGAATGTAGGTGTGCAGAATTACACTGCAATCTATATAGGATGTATTCTTTAACAGAAAATGATACCTGATAGTCAGCAGGCCCAGGAGTTGTAAAAGCTTCTCTTTTAACTAAATATAGGAGTCTAGGAGCAGAAGAACCAAATGCTCCTTTCTTTCTTTTTTCCAGAACAGCTTTTTTAAGACATTCTGCTTCAATGCTGTAGTTGAGGATATTGCAAAATGCAGGACCTGCAAAGGGCATAATTAAACACTAAAAGCATGCAATGTGTTATTTATGCTACCATTAACAATCAACTCAAACCTGGAATTCCAGAAGCAAATGTACCCTGCCAAAATAAAATTTTATGCATACATATTTATTATTGCTGCAATCCTGAACCCATTTAAGGTACGTAAATTGCACTGAAATTTACCAATTTTAAACTGAATAGGGCTGTTGCCCTAAGGTGCAGCCATAATCCCACTGAGGTATTTCAATATGTTAATTTTTAGATTAGACAAGATCCTAAAATAGGTCAGTTCCAGAAACCTGTCCAGAAATGGGTCATTTGCAGAAACCTCTCAGATAAGATCATAATATAATTGTTTCTATAAAAAGAAGCAAAAATAAATATATCAATGAATGAAGTATTTTTCGGCTTTCTGAATGTTAGCCAAAGCAAATATTCATGAACAACAAAATAATATATCTATATCCAATTTAAATATTCTATAGGTCAGAAGATGTAGCTTATAGTGAGGTCTTAAATGATAAACCAAACTCCATTAGATAAAAGGACAAAAGCAAAGGTTTGTAGATGAGGACAAAGAATGGCTATCACAGAAAGACTATGCAGAGAAGAGAGAAAAGTACATCATAAGCATGTTTTCAAGGTAAGTAGGTCAAAAACACATAAGAGGACTCTGTGTCCTTTAAATGATAATTTTACAGGTTATTTATATTTGCTTTCACAAAGGCTCATGCTTCCTAGACAAAATTCTTTTTTCGAAGGGACTACTTTTCAAACTGGAATTCCTCTACCTCATTGGAAGTGCTCCTTTATAGCAGATTTCCTTCCAAATAGCTATGAGAACTGTATTCCGTAGTTTTGTTAGTTGTACAAGCTTTACTCAAAGTGCTTTTATAAAAGAGAGATGGCACTCTGGGGAATGCCGCTAATAGGTACTATTTGTCTTAGGAACTGACTGTCATATTATAGTGCTGATGACCTCTAGCATCTTAGGATAAGTAGCATGATCTGCAACACAAGGATAAATAGTTTTTTCAAACTGTCAACAAGGATGACCTTGTTATATGTGACCTATATGTGAAGGGATATGTGGAAGCATCACTGGCAAGTGCTGCAAGTATTTACAATAATGCCTCACAGCTTTGAATGGCTCAGAAAATATGCACACTTGGATAACCAGGTTTATTTATTTGTAAAACTCTGGGGTTGGGAAATATGTTATTTAGGTAAAGGCAAGTGTTGCTGAACTCTGGGAAAATATTTCATGCAAGATAAATGTAGCACAATAGAAAACAATACAGACTGAAACTGATTTTTACTCCCAATTTTTAGATCAAGATGAACTTCCCCACCCACATTTTGGAGGGGGAAAAGTGCGTCCTATGGTGCAAAAAATACGGTATTTACAATAATGCCTCACAGCTTTGAATGGCTCAGAAAATATGCACACTTGGATAATCAGGTTTATTTATTTGTAAAACTCTGGGGTTGGGAAATATGTTATTTAGGTAAAGGCAAGTGTTGCTGAACTCTGGGAAAATATTTCATGCAAGATAAATGTAGCACAATAGAAAACAATACAGACTGAAACTGATTTTTACTCCCAATTTTTAGATCAAGATGAAAAATAAGAAAGCCATTTAAAATTAGATGTTCCGTATTAGGACAACCATTACCATAGGGTTATACAAATTCATAAGACTCAAGGTAATGCAAATAAAGAGTTTTCAAAAAGTGAATAATGGTGGTCATAATTTTAATGTATTGTTATCTGTTCCTTGCTTCCTGAGAGAAAAATGAGACTGATGGTCCTTTCCCACATGGTTTCAGTCTTCTGCATGGATGAGTGGAGAAATTTCTGCATGGTCTCACTGTCTCTCTCTGAGGACTGCCTGGCTACAGGGTCTGTTGTCAATAGGTCAGGTGGGCAGGCTGGGGCTTCTTAGACATGTTAGTGAGGCCTACATTGCCAGGCCTGCAACAAGGAAAGGGGGCTGCACCATTGGAACAACCTGATGGTTTGAAAGCTCAGTTGGGTGGGAGGGGATTCCAAGGGAATGCACTAGGTCCCCTATTTATCCATGAGGATACCCTCCCATTGACAAAGTATGGCCGTTATCTCTCAACTGCATATGGGCTCAGGGGGGGGGTGTCTCAAATGTGGGGCCCATTCTTTCAGATTTAGGGTCCCATCAACAAAAGCTGTCCTGGGGACAAATTTTCATGAGAGCACGAAGATAGGTAAGTGGAGGTCATGTTGCTTCGGGAGCTATATCAGGCCACTGCCTTATTGATTGGTGCTTCCAGATCTTAACTGATCTGTTCTTTACAGGAGTCAGGGTAGTAGTGAGGTCCTGTGTGCTGATATGTAGCCACAGCATAGTTTACTGAGGAGTGAAGCCAAGTAAGGAGGCTTTATGGGGACCCCAGTTGTGTTTGGGGGCTGCAGCCAAATTGGAATAGAAAGAAACAAATGGGCATGAGATAGGGAATTTCTTTTCAGAACTTCAGGCATGGGCAAGCCCCAGTCCATGGGTACCAGTGGTTCACTTGAGGGGCAATGACATGGGCATCTGGAAGGGCAAGGAGTTAATTTTGACTACCTCAAGGGACCTATGTGAGGTTAACAGCAGGTGGCCTAATGTGACCATTATACAACCAGCTTTGTTAACCTGGCAGGTTTGAAGGGGTGATGGTGATACCCATGGTACAGACTGCCAAGAGAATGGTGAACAAAGAAATTTTATCAAAACCCTGGAGGTTGGTTTGAGAATTCATGTGATTCATCTAAACATCAGGCTTGATTGTCCAGATTTATACAGTGTAATGGAGTGTATTTGACAGACAGGGATTGTGACATCTTTCTATGTGTCCTGCACCAGGGACTTTGGACTACTTTAGCTATTGCTAGCTGCCTGTGTTGACAAGTACTGTGAGTGAGTGGGCTAGTACTGATGAGGTCTGAAAGGGCATATTTAGATGACTGCAGGATGTCAACAAGGGGTGTGCCTCAGATCTTGAGATTCAGAGACAGACTTGGAGACCCCCTCCTTTGAAACTTGTAAGGGCTACGTCCTTCTTAAAGGTCACAAAGCTTGAGGAGAAGACAGACTCAGGAAGATATGTCATGCTGTAGCACCTAGAGCAAGGCATTGGTGCACAGAGATTGCCTGTACAGGATTGGAGAGAGGGTGAAGGGAAACCATTGCTTCTGCTCTTTCATCTGCACTAGGGCAGGTCTCTGCAGATTCGTATAAAGAGGTTACTAAAAGTTAATAAAGTTGTGGCCTGAGTTTAATTCTATCACTGTTATCTATCTATTGCTTCAGGGGGAAAATGACTGCTATAGCTGTCAAGAATTGATGTGCCACTCCGCATAGGATTTATTTTTTACCTCCAGCCACATGAAAAATGAAGTGTGTAGCAAACAATGCGGCAGGTGATGTAGCTAAATAAACGTGAATTGAAGAAAAAGCTGACCTTTTATCCAACAGCAACTGTAGGAACTACAAAACCTATCACAGTGAAGAATTATCTGGGTCAAACGTACGGACCCTGGCAAAAGAGCAAAAAGCTTGCCATTTATAGTTGTAGAAACATAGTTTTCTTGCAGCGTGGACAATCTGAATCACTCTATCCATGACTTTGAGTGTACAGACATTAAGGATGGAGGACCAATGCCAATTTTCTGAAAATAACATCAGTTCAGAGAAGCAGAAAACAGAAGATCTGACAAGACAGGCAGAGGAAGAGGGGAAACTACAGCTGTCTCTGACACTACCGGACTACAAAAATGTCATGTATGGTGTCCTGACAGACTCTGGAGATTACCTTAGTAAGCAGTGGAGAGAATCAAAATATGTAATTTATCCAGGGGTAGTGAGATTAGGATTATAAAGACAGATGTGACAAAGCTAGGAACTTCCTGTCCCTCAGTTATAATAGATGCTTTAGAAGGAAGGACATCATCTGAACTGAACACACACCCCATTTCTGGTCATAAAATAACACAAATCCTATCATCCTGAAACTCACACTATACATATATATTTCAGAAGGACACTATAAGGCTCCTATCTAGATAAAGTTAGGTTAGTTACCTGTAACTTTGGTTCTTCTAGTGGTACTCTGTGAATACACACAAATGGGTTATCCTGCGCCTGCGCAGGAACATCCGGAAGATTCTAGAGATTAAGAAAAAAGAGTCAATTAGCTCCCCCCCATTTGTGTGCATTCACAGAGACCACTACGAAGAACATCTAGATATTTGAATAGGAACACTCATCTTAGGGAAAGGAGATTAATACAATGATTTTTTGCTTGTCCCACTTGTTCAGATTATCTGCAAACCTGGTGTTTTCTGCAGCCTGTAGTCTTGAGTGAATCGAACAGAGGTATTGCCAAATGGGATGCTTTTTGCTTTTGATGCTTTCTTCAAGGACTCAAGAGCACAGCGTGTTTCATTATATGTGCCAGGAGCTGGGGTGGATGATTTCATAGGTGCAAACCTCTAGGGAAATGTAAGAGAAAATGAATGACAAGTGCCACACTTAAGTATCCATGTGGATGCAAAAGAATCTATTTGGGTGTGAACAACATTTACATTTTTTTAATCTATAAAGCAAATGCAAAAAGAAAAACAAAAAACCCAATAAAGTAACATTAATGTAACTTGTTTCACAGCTGATTCAACCACTTGTATGTATTTGATTGAAAGTGTTTCTCCCAGGTTACACGACAACATTATGAATACAATATGTAGTAAAATGGCCAGAATTCTATTGGGTATGATGTAAGCCACTTTGGGTCCTTTTTAAGGAGAAAAGGGGATAAAATATTCTAAATTATGTAAGTGTAATAGTATAAATTGCAGCAACAAACTACCACTAATTAATGTTGATTCTGTTTATTGACAAGCACCAAGTCACATGACTGAAGCACGATAAGAAATACAAGTGGTAACTTGCTAACTAATGGCAATTTTCCACTGCAATTTATGCCACTGTATCTATACTAGAGTAAATTATTAACAGAATTCTGTCTAATGTAATATAACACAATACAACACAACACAATAAAATATCATATAATTGACAAAATCCTATTGGTGTAAATTCATGTCTGTGTAACCAAGATTGATTGCCAGAAATATTTAATTTAAACTAATGGAAAATTCCTTATACTTTCAGGTTCCAATGCCCCCTAAGGCTCCCTTTTGTACTTGGGAAGCTTTGGAGAACCTCAGGACAGAGTGGGGACAGAAAGCTTTTAACAGTTAAAAATAGCTGCCCAAACATCCTAGGGAAGCTCAGAACCTGAAAGAGGTGTTGGATAGGAAGTTTTCCTTTGGTTTAAATTAAATATTTCTAGCACCTGCATTACACCAGCATAAATTTATGAAACAGGATGTTGCCCAATATAATGTCATGTCCCATCACGTAACATAATGTAATAACAAGCACCCAGAATATATTGCACATTTTATTGATGAAATAATCTCCAATAATTTCCAGGCAGGTAGTCAAGATGGCTTGCTGTATCAAAAATACGCAAGAGTTTTCTATGTGGCTAAGGATAGTATCTGAGCAACATAGTTCAGTACTATCCAAAAAGCAATATTTTTATGGTATCACTGCTTTATTTTAGAACATTGTATTTACGTTATTGAATTGGCTGTAAGTTTGGCTGTTTTCATTGTGATGCAAGGACATTGCTAACTTCTTCATGTGTTCTCTGACCAATAGTCTGCAGCACATTGTCTGCTTTTGATTTCAGTCACTTTGGGTTAGAGGCCTACCATATATGTTCTTAGCTATTTACTTTTTTCTTTTAGTATAATTTAGCTAAATAATAAATAAATGATGCAGGATGTGAAATTAGTATTTGTGGCACCTACTATGGGAATGAATATGCTTTCAATATACAGTGTGGTGCCTCACTTTACGATTGCCCTGCATTACGACAGAACCGCATTACGACGGTCTTTTTTATCACAAAACGATGGTCTGAATGGGGTTTTGTCTTTTTTGATCGCAAAACGATGGTCTGAATGGGGTTTTTCACTTTGCGATGATTGGTTCCCTGCTTCAGGAACCGATTCTTCGCAAAAAGACGATTTTCCCCCATCTGATCGGTGGTTTCAAAATGGCCACCGGGTAAATAAAATGGCTGTTTTCTGGGACAGATTCCTCACTGCACAGGCACTGAAAATGGCCGCCCTATGGAGGATCTTCGCTGGATGGTGAGTTTCCAGCCCATTTGAAGGCATTGAGGGGTTTCAGTGCGTTTCAATGGGCTTTTTATTTTCGCATTACGGCATTTTCATTCTACAGCGATTTCGCTGGAACAATTTAACGTCGTAATGCGAGGCACCACTGTACTCTATCTGTAAATAATCCAATATCAATGTCACTATAAATCTCTGTAAGCTCTCCCTCTCCTTAGAATTTCTTCATGTTCAAGCAAGTGAGAAATGTGTAACTCTGTCATGAAAACATAGAAAGGGAAGAGTTGAATCACTTCTTACCTGGGCAAGAGAAAGAAAAGGAGCATGATGGGGTTCACTCTGTGACATACCACTTTTTCCAAACTGACTTTTTATGTTATATTGCCCAGGACCCGGAACACCCTACAAAAAAGTAAAAGCGAGTCTGAGCTTAAGATCGGCACACATAATGGGAATGTGGATCAATTTGATTTTCAAGCAGTATTACTTGATTTTAAGATGTATTCCTGTTATGAAACTTAAGAGAAGCAAGAAACCCTAAAAAAGAAAAAGAAACACCAGCAAACAGCACCGAAAGAATTGCATTGCCCCCAAAAGCCGAGTTGGCCCCCTTCCTTCTGTCATCAGACAAAGACCTTCCTTTTCAGGCAGGATTTTAAGCAATAAAGGGGGATTTTAGCAATGCAGCATCTATAGAATTCAGAAATTTCAGGAATGCTTTAAATATTTTTTCAAAATTGTTTTTAATAAAGTTTTTCATACTGTTATATTTTTAACTGTTTTTGGTATTAGTCTTCAAATTCCAGAGCAGGAAGGGATCCTGTGGATCATTAATCCAGTCCCTGTTTTTAGTGTTACTTCCTATTGAGTTTTTAATAATGATTATTGCATGATTTTAATTCACTGTGGGCTGCCTTGAGTCCTCTATGGAGAGAAAGGCGATATATTAATTAAACAAACAAACCTTCAGCAATTCCTATCATAATCAATTCTAGTGACAGTTATCTGCATTTCAGAAAAACTGTGTCAAGAAATTCACAATAACAAATGCAAAGTACTGATTTTTTTTTTTACACTGTCAGAATTTATTAAAATTCTTCATATATTACTGCAAGACTACATATATTAATTCAAAATGACCACTGAAAAAAATCTGGAACAAAACAGCAGTAAAAATGGAGTATGGGTTACATTTTTTAAAAAATGTTAGGTAATTATATATTTAATCATATTTTGAGCAACTCACAAATGCTTTTCTGGAATAGTGGAAAGATCTGAAAGATATTGACGATCCACGAGCAACAGGCTCCAAACAGCATGGTGAAAGAAAAATGCAAGATAGGTTTAAGTGCTAAGCTCTTACATAAGAATAGCTGATTAAACAGTGGCCCAGTTCATGTGATCCTTCCCCCTGGAATAGGGGAAGAGTGTTCTGACTGAATCACACATTAGGAAAAACTGAGATACAGGGCTTCATCTCATCTGAGCTTTTAGCTAAATAGCTAGCACACCACGGCTTTAATCAGGGGAAATAGAGCTCTCATGGCACAAGACTAAATGGAATTAACGAAGGAGCCACAGATGAAGCACTTCTGCCAACCAATTTCCAGTGCTTGGTAGGCTGGTGTTCACCTTGTAGCTTTCATCTTACAATATAGAAAAGACATTTTTATTGGTGGTACTACGTAAATTTCACTTAACTCAAAGCTCAAATACTTTCTGTGTTCTATTCAAAGAAGCATGTATTCTCTATGGACAAAACAGAGCCAATTTAATTTTAAAAGCCTTAATCCAGCTCAAACATGGTACAATGGGATGTTGTATAGCTAGAGCTTTTGAAAAATCATTGAATAATACATAAGGGTTAGCATCTTTCAGATGCCGTATTCTGATCAAAAATCACTGGTGGTAACAACAATAACCAATAACAAGCCTCAGTTATTGGGCAAGTCCGTAGGTGATGGATATCAGAATGGGCTGTACATATGTAGGCCAACAATAACAATACATAAAATACTTGACCTGTCCTGAAGTGTTAGCAGGGTACGATAGTGTAATCCTTGGTGGGACTGTATCAAAAACCAATTAGGACCACTGAGGGCATTATGGTATGGCAAGGAAGCACTGCCTAAATGCTGCCCCTGTTAGCTTTCAGAAAAGAGAAGAGTCCTCAAAGGCTAAAGGAAGAAAAACCCAAATAGGAAACCACTATTGTTGGCCTACATAACTTGTGACCCAGAGCAGGTGATCACTAACAGTGTCTGTCCCCAGATTAGGGGCAACAGATCACAGTACCTGGCTGTAGGTAGTAAACTGAATGAGTAGGTTGTTGAAATCAATATTGAGAGGAGGAGGACCCTATCTTGCTTCCATATTCTTTTAATTTTTTGCATTATTTAACACTTTTCAACCCTAAACCTAGTCATTCCAAAATTCTGGTTTTGGTTCCTGAAATTCAAAAATTAGTTATTTTTGCAAACATGTCACCTCACCCATACATTCACTAGCAGTGCTGACAACAAAAGCAGTGAATTTATAATAATAATATGGCTGGATTATATTTGATTGGAGAAGTGTATCACTTGCCTCAGCTTATAGTGGCAAACTAGATAAAAAATGGAGATGTATCAGCATGGCATTCTGGCTTCTACCTTGATTATTCTTTACAGGAAGAATACCTTTCTAAACTACCTGGAAAATTTATTAATGTTCCTGTATCACATAATTGTTTACACCACTATCTGCATAGCTGGAGGAAGCTATTTATGAATTTGTCTTTGAGTCTCAATGGCCATTTTGACGAGGGGATTTGGGGCAGAAAAATTGCAGGTGCTAATTCTTGAACAGTACTGAAGCGAATGTAAATTGTACTAGAGATGATATAAATATTAATAAAGAAATTAACATCCAAGTAAGATTAATTTTAAGAGACCTCACCTACTGAAAATCTCCATCAGGAAATAAATATTTTATACTTATTAGGAGACATTTCCCACCATGTTCATTAATGTATTGTGATTACTATTAACCTTTAATGTATTGTGATTACTATTAACCTTTCACTGCTGCACTCTCCCATTTCCTTCTGTTTAAGCCTATCTTTCAAATTTACTGATTATATATCCGCAACACTGCAGAACCGCTGCTATTTTTTTCTCTTCTAAAAGGCACTTACCTGCTTGGAATTGGCAACTAAAACCCTATTCATTTCAATGTAACGTAAGTTAAAAGTGAGCTCAGGAAATTCAATACACATCTATTTAATCTCAAAAAATATAGGCTTGGTGACAAAGATATTTAAAAAAGAATCAGGCAACTTGTTTTAGAATTTTAAAACCATGACATGTAAAACAAGCTTTAAACAATTCACATAACATGCATGGAACACACTAGTAAAAACATGCACAGTCCAGAAGCATTCCTGTGCTTTGCTAGTTAGTTACAGTATGTGTCATCAAGTTGAAATCGAGTTAAAGTGACCCCAATAGGGCCTTTAGAGTATGCAAAGTATTTTTGGTAGTAGTTTTATCACCTCCGCTCCTCCAGTGACTTTGCATGGCCAAGTGGGGATTTGAACCCCAGTCTCCAGAGTCCTATCCATCACTATAAGCATTACACCTTGCTGGGTAAGTGCTTTGCTTCAGAAAGCTTATTATAAGTGTAATTTTGCTTATATCGTACAGAGAAAATGCAAAGGTAATTCCAACTTTTGGGTAAGACGAGTAAATCTCTCCCTCATAGTTCCAGTTTCTCTAGAGAAGCATGCTTTATTATTACAGCTTCACCCTTTTATTTATCCTACAGTATTCAAAAGGAGATACTGAGGATCAACTTTGCACAGTAACAGTTTATAATCTGAGCAATAAAGTCTCCCTTCCCATAGTGCTTAGAGCTCAGACAACAAACCACATTCCATTCTTCTACAGACTTGGTATTATTTAGCTATGCTGATACTGTATAATTCCCTAATAATAATTTTAAAAAAAAAACCTTTTTAAACCAAGTAAGTTGCTGGTAAGTTTTCCAAAGCTTACAGTTTCTAGACATTGATGCAATAAACAACTTTTTAAGGATCATGCATTTGCACTCCTACTGAAGTAAAAGTATTTGGCTGTGCAAGGCAATTGGCTCGGTAGTAAAAATAGACAATGTACCAGTAAGGTTTTTTAAAGCTGAAAGAAATGTGATATCTGAAAATACGTTTGATAGAAAATGAGTAACCCCAAAATGAAGTCAACTTTATAATCAAAAGCAGAACTTACATATCACATTATTTCTGAATGCATTATGTAACAATGCTTATATAAGATGTATGTGCCCAATTATGAAAGAAACCATTGCAGGAGAGTTGAAACATAGAGACACAAAGGATGTTTGCAGGGGGGAAAAGTTCTTTAATTACCCAAGAGAAAACTGTCACGCAACAGTGATGACGAGCCATTGGGAGCAACTACTATTGTACCAGAATAACAGTCATTTTAATTAGCTTAAAAACTGAAGAATTCACCTCAGTGGTTGCCTCAATTTTATTCCTGCAAAAAAATAGAAAAGCTTTTTGTCCTTATTGTAGTTGACAGCAAATGTTCTCTATACATTTTTATCTTCAGGGGAAAGTCATTCATGTTCAACATTAGTCCACCTTAATTCAAGAAAGCACTGTAGTATTTGTGGGATATTTCTTCTACTGCAGCAAAATTAAGAACGGATAAAGAAAAACTCATCAACATTTTTTCCAGTTGTCATATAATTTCCTTCATTTGAAGTTGACTACTGGCTGAGAGATTGCTGGGCCAGAAATATCACTGCTGTGGGTACTGGTATGAATATCTCAAGATTGTTATCAGATCCTGGACCACATATTGAGAAATGATCAACAGATCTGCAGAAAGAGGAATGAACACCACAGAGTCTTCTGAGTAAGACTGACGAAATAAAGGAAGCCTATACCACCAAGCATCCTTCCAAACAGTTCAGATACAATAGAGGATGATCCTCCAATTATGAATGCATTGGCCCTAGTAGGAATAACAAATGATGCACATAGCAGAAACTGCAATCCTACATCATTTGAAGAGCCACAATGTTCCCATCTCTGATTTCTATATGTGTGGGTGGGTGGGTGTTGCAAATTTGACCCATTCTATTGCTTCAGTCATTTAAAACTTGAACACTTGAATTTACTTCAGTGCATGCCAATGTACATCTTGTTTCTGTGACTTCTGTTGCTTTTCACGGACAGTAATAAAAGGCAGGCGAAGATGTCAAAGATACAAAAATGAAAGACTGAAATATGTGTTTGTGAAGTGGGGGGGGGCAGGACAGCCAGGACAAGGGGATGTTTCCCCAGTACCCAGCCAGTGGGACAGAGACCGCACAGAAGACAGGCAGCTGTTTGAGGAGGA